TAGTCTATGGAGAAGCTGATACCTGAGAATTTTCCAGGTGGAATAGATATTAACAATGACAGATAATCTTAATCCCTCCACTTTTGAAGTTCTCCCCTATACTTGTGCAGCTATTAACCCTCATAGAAAACACTATGTCTAAGAAGCTAGAATTCCTGTTTTTAAAATCATCAGACCAATTATCATCACTTACTGAGTTTAACTATCTGGGGCTTAGTTTTCCATTTTGAAGATTATACCCTGAGTCTTCTAGATTAAAAAAAAAAAAAAAGGAAATGAAAAGCTAACTCAAAAGGATAAGCCTATGTTCATAGACACATTTACAATAGCCAAGACATGGAAATGACCTAAGTATCTATGGATGGATGAATGGATAAAGAAGTTGTTACACACACACACACACATACACACACACACACACACACACACGTGGATTATTTAGCCATAAAAAAATGAGGAAATTCTGCCATTCACTACAAGATGGATGGACTTTGAAGGCCTTATGCTGAGTGAAATAAGTCAGACAGAGAAAGACAAACACTGTATGATCTCATTTATATATGGAATCTAAAAACAAAAATTTGCAGGAAGGTGGTCAAAAGGTACAAACTCTAAGAAAAACAAAACTAATATAAAACAAAACAAAAAACTGACCAATTTTATAGTAAGAGAAATACTACTTTTCACATAACTGAAATACTATAATATCTGGTTAGTCTGTATTTTCTAGTCTGATAAATGCTAGATGAAATTCAAAGTATGCTCTCACAACTACAGTGTGTGAAATTACTCTTAAAAACAAAAGGGTTTAATTTTTAGTTATATCCTTGGATCAGCTGTCTTCTCCAGATACTAACACCATCCTTTGATTTGGAGATCTATAGTGGGCATTCTTAGCTTGTGGGCCATACAAAAACAGGTGACAATCTAAAACTATAAAATTTCAAGAAGAAAACAGGGGAAGGCTTCATGACTTTGAATTTAGCAATGATTTCTTGGATGTCACACCAAAAGCACAGGCAACGCAAGCAAGATAGCCAAACAGGACTATATCAAACTTAAAAACTTTTTGCATTTAAAGGATACAATCAACAACGTAGAAAGGCAACCCATGAAATGGAAGAAAATATTTGCAAATCATATATCTGATAATATCTGGTTAATATCTGGAATATATAAAGAATCTTATAACAAAAAATCAAATAACCCAATTTAAAAAATGAGTAAAAGACTTGAATAGGCCTTTTTCCAAAGATGACATACAAATAGCCAACTGGTATATGGAAATACATGAAAACATCCATAATCATCAGATAAATGCAAATAAAAGCCATTGAGATATCACCTTACAATAATAAAGATGGCTACTGTCCAAAAAAACCCAAAACCAAATGAACAAAACACCTCCAGAAAATAACAGGTGTTAGCAAGGATGTGGAGAAATTCGTACCCTTCTGTACTTTTGGTGGGATTGTAAAATGAAGCAGCCCCTATGAAAACAGTATGGAGATTCCGCAAAAAATTAAAAATAGAATTTACATATGATCCAGCAATCTCACTTCTGGGTATATATCAAAAGAACTGAAAGCAGGGTCTCAAAGAGATATTTGCACGCCCATGTTCATAGCACTATTCACAGTAGCTAAGAGGTAGAAGTGACCTAAACGTGTCTATCGATAGATGAATGAATAAATGAAATGTGATACATACATACAATGGAATATTATTAAGCCTTAAGAAGGAAGGAAATCCTATCACATGCTACAACATGGATAAATCTTGAGGACATTATGCTAAGTAAAATAAGCCAGTCACAAAAAAGATAAATATTGCATGATTTGTCCCACTTATGTGAGGTATTTAAATCCACATAAACAGAAAGTAGAGTAGTGGTTACTAGAAGCTTGAGGGTAGAGGAAAAAAGGGAGTGTTGTTGAATGGGGATAGAGTTTCAGATTTCCAAGATGAAAAAGTTCTAGAGATCTGTTTCCCAACGATATGAATATACTTACCACTAATGAATTGCACACTTAAAAATGGTTAAGGTGATAAAATTTTAAAATATTGCTATAGTATAAATGTTGAGGACTTTGTATTCTAAAAGACAGTTTAAATCAACAAAACAAAACAAAAAACTAGGTGGCAGGCCAGATTTGGCCTTTACGCCAAATTTTGCTGACTCTTGGCCTAACCCAATCCAACTCCCCCTATAATCAGCACTCTGTCTTATATTTCCCCCCTAAACCTTTTTGGTTGAGTCTTCAAATGTTACAATTGCAAGTGGCCACAGAAACTTAAAGTCGTTTTGGAGGGTAGGACTGGAGGGACAGGGAGGTAGCAGGGAATTTTCCAGGGTCAAAGGATGTAGTCAATGGCAGAGTATTGAGTAGAATTTAGCTGCCCAAGATCCCTCCTATTGCTATTTGGAGACATATATAGATTCTTAATGATAAGGAAAACCACCTTTGATTGGCTTGGAGGTGAACACAGTATTTAACTGAATTCCACACGTGCTGCTATAAATACGCATTGAATTAAAGTCCTCTAGTAACTAGTCATCATGTTCTCTAGTCCTCTGTCCCTTTAGGACTGAAACTAGGAGAAGAAAGAATGGTACTGATTACAAAACTCACTTTAAAGATGAAAACTCTTCTGCTGAAATTGTTTTAACTATGGTCCCCCAGGAGTTTAAATAGTACCTAACATTTTGTGAAGGATGAAAACGGTCTTTTTTAATTCTAGTCTGCAGAAAAAAGTAACATTGGCCACTAGCCACTTTTAAAGAATTGTGTAAAGTTACCCCTCTTATTTACAACATTAACATCTAAAAATTAAGTAACAACTTAAAAGACAAATAGTTATTATCTGCTGAGTGCCTGACTTCCTAGGGGTGGCATAAAAGAGGACAAAACCCAGTTCAGTCAATATCTAAAATTAAACCATGAGTAAAATGCAGAGGGCACAATGTTCATTTTGTTCTGCACTGTGAAGTAGGACAAGCTGGAGGTTTTGCTTGGAGTGATATAACTTGTTATACTAAACAGCTTCTTTTGTGCTGGCTGGAAAATTACTGTTTGGCTATCGCCCATGAGAACATAACGCTCTAACAATAAGCTTTCTGCTTCTGTAACTCCCGCTTGCACAACCGACCTGTGGGTTGACAGTTAGTAAAAAGAAGAAAAATAGACTTGTGTGTTCAAACAGGATGAAGAATGGGGTTTAGGGCTTAAAAACCCTGTACCTCTACATTTCGGGGCTACTTAATTTGGGATCTGCGTACCCCTGGCTGACCCAGCTGGCTGAATAAAGAATGTGTTTCCTATAACTCACTGATTTCTGGTGGTCCGTGTGTCTATCAGGGGCTGGCGGCTACAACACTTTTCATTGTCTAGAAAAAACCCAACCATTAAACTTAGGAGCTGGGTTGAGTAGAGAGAGATTCCAACACAATCTATCAAGATTATGTAGTATTCCAGGAGTTACAAAGCATAAACATTGCTATTTAAACAGCTTCAATTACAATCTCAACGTTGTGTTAAAAGACTATTCATTCCTCCTAGACTTTCTTGGTTTACAGAGCTATGCTTATCTAAAGCACCTGCTGTCAATGAAAAACACCCCTTGAACATTTGTCTCTTCAGCATATCTGTATGATGTGCAGAAAAAATAATTATTTAGTGAACATTTCAAATTGCTTCTTACGTAGACTAAGCAAATGCAATTCAGGAGCCTAGGCAGTAACCTAGTTCAAAAACAAAACAAACCAAAACCAAAACCAAAACCAAAACGCAAGCTGTAAAAGACATTCTTGGGACAATCATAGAAACTTGAATGTGCACTGAATATTAAATGATATCAGGGAATTGTTTTCTTAGGTAGTATTGTGACTTCAGATGTCCTTATTCTTGAGAGGCAAGCTGAACTATTTAAAGGTTAAGTATTTTGATGTATGCAACCTATTTAAATGGTATAAAAGAAAGGCATAGCTATTTTCCGTATTTTTGAAAACCATAATGAAGAATTGAGGTGAGGGGAACAAAGGGCATCTTTTAAAAATTCCTTAGCCAAGAACACTGTGAAGAACTTCTCAGCAGTAACTTCATACCCTTTGGGTTTGGAGTATGGTGGCTGTTTTTGCTGTTACATCCCAGGTACCATTCAGCGAGTGCGGTCTCTGCTCCACTCAGGAGCAAGCAATTCTTAATCACATTCACATCAATTAGATTTAGCAACAATAGCAAGCTAGCCTGAGGGAGAAAAGTCCACATGTGACAAAATCTTCTTTACATTCCTACAGAATTACACGGTCACTTTCACTTTCATATTGCTTTGATTTGCACTTTCCAGCAGGCATATCTGCACATGGGGACCTGTTATCTCTTTTTTTTTTTTTTTTTGCCAATAGACATTCATCGACAACCCCAGCCCCAGACAGAAGGCATTTCTTTCTGGCCTACTGGCCACACCCCAGATGATTTTTATAGAGGAATCCTTCTGCCCAACCACCCACTGTTGAATTCTAATTCTGTCTATATTCAAATTATATCTTGAAACAGCTAATCTCATCCTGCATTTAAAAAAAAAAATCCTGAAACTCAAATCACAGTTTTATGCTCTTGTCATCATCCTGAGTTTTTTTTTTTTTTAAAGCAAATTTAGATGAGAATCACCTATATCAGGAGGCTGTGGCAGCATTTAAAAGTTTTTTTTTTAAAGCAAATTTAGATGAGAATCACCTATACCAGGAGGCCGTGGCATCATTTTAAAAGTTAATGAGCACACTGACAATAGCTACTGTATACTTCAAATTAATTCCCTACCAGGCTCACGGTGCCATAGGTTGTAGGTATGCTGCTACCAAAGGCTTATCTCCTATGATAGCGCAAGATATGAGAGGCCACTAATATCTCCCTAAGTTTTAGCAATTACGTCTGGTGTCCAGAAGGTGTTCATAGGAACTAAAAGTTAGCTTCTGATTTAGGACAGGGTAACAAATTTGGACTTAAGGTCTCCTGCAGGGACTATGTGAGAAGCGAGCCCGGCCGGGAGTGGGCTAAGCGCGGGCCTCCTTTACCAAGATGGCCCCGCGGCGGCGGCCATCTTGGTAAAGGCAGAAGCGGCGGCCAGCGCTATGGCTGACGCTGGCAGGGCTCCCAGATCAGAAGGTCACAATGAGTAGGTGATGGGGCAACCAGGAGCGAACTCAGCTGAGCGCTGGGCCCCAGGGCGCGCGGCCGGGGGTCGCCGGCTGGGCCGCAGGCCAGGCGACGGCTCGCCCCAAAGATGGTAAGGCGGCGAGTACTGAGGCGCTGCCTGCAGCTGCTGACGCCTCCGCAGGAGCCGGCGCGACGGGGTCGAAGGCGGAGGCACCCGAGCACCGGCCGCTGCGGCCATTCCCGCTGCGTGGGGGCGCTGTGGCCTGGAGTGGAGGAGCAGCAAAGACAGCGGACGAAGCGCGCCCGGCCGGTGGCACCGCGCACCAGGTGAGCGTGCGGCCCCCTTCGCCAGCCCCTCACTGCGCCCCGCGCCGTGAAGCGTCGCGCTCCGTCTGGGGTCTCGCGGGAAGCGGTATCTCATCCTCCCGCCCGCTGTTCCCTTTCGCGGTTCTGCTCCCTTCTCCTCCGTGTCCGGCGGTGTCCCCAGGCTGGGCTGTTTGCACTCTTCCGCCAAGTAGAGCGGGCTGTGGCTGGGATTCCTGTCCCGAGCCTTGCCTTCTCCTGCGGATGCTGCACTTGTGAGTGGCAGGGTTTCATTTGAATTTTCGCACTTTGCGTGTTGCGGAGTGCGCATCTCTGAAGCTACCTGAGTGGAGAGCCACATTATTACTATTTTTTCTCTTGGGAGAGAAACCGCCTCTGGGATTTATTTTAGATCCCATCTTCTCTGCAAATCACGGGGTGCGTCTTCGCTGATCGGAATACACCTGGGTGTACCTTCCTTTAGTTGTATGTAAATGGATGGGTTCCTTAGGGCAACTTATTTCTCCATCTGTAATATTTATCGTCTAAAAATCCATTCCAATAGTTTTCTCGCCTTTTATCTTGAAAGTTAACCAAGGAATGGAAACGAAGAGCTAAAGAATGGAGCAAGATGGGGCGGGGTGGTGGAACCCTGTGCTTTCTTGAGTTTTCTGTGCTGTGGTTGGTTGGTTATTAAATTGGGGTGTTATGGCAGGATTTCCAGTCAGGTATGCAGATAGTTTTTCCCCCCCTGAGTAGAACTCGCTAGGGTCCTGGTAGTTGAGATAAATACGCTTCCACGGGCTCCAGAGTTTGATGCATCACACCTCAGTTGAACCTGGAAAATGTTAATAGAACGAAAAAGTTAATCTTTAAAACGTCATTTAGTTCTTGTATTTGCCTTTACTGCAGGTTGTTCTACATATGTTATACCATGACTCACCTGGTTTACTTTGGCTTAACATGAAGTGTTTGCTATTTGATAATTCTGATTAATTTATTGAGAAAGTTATTCCTGAGATACAGCTCTCTGAAAATTAAGAATAATTACCATCTTTGTTAAAAGTGGATATCTAGCAGTTCCATTTCTATTTTCAGTTACATTGGTTTTGATTTAGTCTCAGACATCGACATCTTTTAGAAAGAACTTATTTAATCTTTAAAAAGATTACCGATATACCACAATAGTCTGATTTTGTTGCAGGAAAACATTAGGTTTGTTAGAGAAAATCTAGAGCAAATTTACTTGTTTAAAATAGGAATTTAAGAGAGATTGACTTCAATTAAAACTTTTAAGCAAATTAAAATATAGTCACAGTTTTCAAAGGTTTTATCACATTTGCAGGTTTTCCTGCTGCAAGAATTTTGTTAAGTCTCGGAGAGATTAAAATACTTAGTGTATTTCTCATACCCTTTTTTTCACTCACAATTCCGAATTGTACAGATTTCACATTACAAAATTTAACTTTTAAATTAGTCCAGTTATAACTGAATTTTAAAATAAACATTCCAGCAAAGGGTTTCAATTATGCTTTAGTTAATACAGTCATTTTCATGTATTTGAAAAGGATATTTTTGTTACTTTGTATTTGTGAGTTTGGGAAAGTGAGGAGATTTTTGAGAACATTTTGTCAACGTACTATTTGCCTTTAAGTTGTTTCGTTCTGCTTGCTCTTTGTAGTGGTAGATAGCTGTGGATAATAGTGGGCTTTTTCATTTCATTCCACTTTTCTTATGCAAATAAGAATATGGCTATAGCTGGAGAGCTGTGTTGATATGGGCATTTTAGATTGAAATGCATACAAGTGAAAGTATTTTCATTGAAGTATTTGGGAAAATGAACTTGTGCATCATTAATGATTAACAAGACCTTTATCCTGAAGGTCTGTGAGGGCATGTATATAATTGGCATTAAAAGAACCACCTATGCAATTTCCAGCATGTGGTTCAAGTAATATACCATTCGAACTGCTATAATACTGAAGGATTCTACCTGTCTATAATTTATAGTGCTTTACTTGACTTGTCTTTTTATTTAATAACAATTTATTGCGTATTTAAATATTTTATTAACAGACTTTTGTGACATTATATGTGAACTTATATATCACCAGGGGGCAGTTTTATTATGTCAGTGATGTAGTTTTTTCCCAAGGTTTTATAACTTTATAATTTACAAAGTTTTCTCAGATATTTTTTAGTGTATTAATTTGATTTTATAAGTGTACAATATGTGAGATTATTAACACCATTCCACAGATGAGGAAAACAGGAAACAACTTGGCAGATTTCACTGATTTGTCCAAGGTCCCTTACTTAGCACAGCACCTCTGGCCTTTAGCAGAGTATATACACTTCTGCCTCTTCTTAGAAAGAGGTACCAATGAAGCCAAGGTAGAGTGGTGTGGATCAGCAAGCTTTGGTCAGCATCACAGCCATAGATTGCACCCCTAAGCTTTTTGCAAATAGTACCATAGGTTATGGAGCCACAGGGCTGGAATACAGGTGGATTAACATAAATTCAGCATGACTGAAAAATGACTCAGTATGCACCTGCTACCTAAAATAATCTATCTTTCCCCTTGAAGGAAGCAGATTTTCATGTTTATCTAATTTGAGGGCCTTCTTAGATTAAGGAACACTAAATATTGATTGAACAATAAATGCTTGTAGACTTGTGTACTCTTTTAGTCTTTCTTAGGGATAAGAATAAAGTTGTCAAAGTAGAGAAACACCAAGCTTCTGTTACTGGCCCTTCTTAAACTGCAGACTTCTTTGTTTTGTCTGATACTAGCACAACTGGACAACAGCAATAATTTGTTATGCAAGTTTTCTGAATTTTGAAGGTCCTTCAAACTACAAAGATGTTTGCCTTTTCAAATTACTGCATTCATTTCTTTGGTTTCTTTACAGAGTTCATGAAAACAAGTACTATATATATTCAGAATATTGTGCATTTGTATGGTTGAAGTAACTAGTGACAGCTTAAAGAATTTCTGGACTCATAAAGTCCTCTTTTTTAGACTTGAGGCCAGTTTATCTGTTTGTGATCTAAATTAAATAAAATACCCCACAGGAGGTGAAATGTATTATTTATCTTTCCATACTGACCATATCCTCTTTTGGTTTTAAGTATTTCTAAGCATACTTAAAGGACCTTCTAGAGTATGTACCCAGTCTAAGCTCTTTAAACTTACAGTGTTTCTGTTTCTACTCTTACAAGATTTTTTAACCTGTCATAATACCACAAAACTGAAACATTAAAATTAGCCTTTTCCACTATTTCACAGAGATGAGGTACTTTAAAATTCTTGGATGAAAGTTGATTCCTTTCTCATTTTTTTCTTATATAGTGTCTCAATTTTATATGTAGATGGATTGTCTAATGTGTGTAAATGTATGTGTACTGTTCGGCACCCATTTTTAACTGGGCAAATGTGAATGCTCACACACATATTGAGTATCATCACAGTGAAGAATTTGACAAACTTGATGTTCTCAGCAACATTTTCTTGGTTAAGTGTGATTACATAGAACTTTATAATTTCTTTTTGCTTAGCTGCCCTAATACCTTAAAATCATACTTTATAATATGCTCATCTTCAATTTAGTACAAAATGCCCACATTTTAATACATTTTATATGAAAGAAGACATAACTATGCATTTATATGGTACCCTGAGGCTGTAAAGTGATCAGTTCTCCATGTTTTCCTCATACTGAGGTGCTTCCCAGGATGCAGGACTTTCAGTGCTAAAACTGGGAAAGCCCCGGGCACATTAGATGCATTGGTTCCCCCCACCTGAAGGTGTCTCTTCATGGGATTTGATTAACAGTTCTTCCCAGTTGGAAGGATAAAATGCCAGGTGATGGTTGTATACTGGATGAACTCAAAGACATTTTTTTAAGGCAAGAAAATATCAAAGCCTCATGTATTTTTATTTATATGATTGAAATATAGAACTAATTTATTATTTGTTCTTTGTAACTTTAAATGAGAACAATTTAGCAATGAAATAAATAGTTACATCATTTGAAATCTTCATGTAAAATTAAAAAGACAATTATGTTTATAGAGGAACTAGGATTTGTTGTCTACTAAGTACTTTTTAACTTTGAAAAGAAAAAAAAAAAAGACAACAGTTAAAAGCAAAAAAGGCTAGTTTTGTTCTTGAGACCATAATTGTTGGCTGTATGCCACTAGCTTCAGAACATAGATATCTGTTCGAAATAAATTTATTGGATTCTTTCTTGCAGATTCAACATGATTAGTGGAAAGAGCATGGGTTCTGGAATCTGATCCTACTTGGGTTGGATCTCCATATCCAACTGTTACCAGCTTTTTGACTTTATGCAAACTGTTAAACTTGGTGAACCTGGAACATGAGGATAATATCTACCTTGTGGGAATATCATGAGGATTAAATGAGATAATGAATGTATATAAAGTGTTTGGTACATAGTAAAGGCTTAATAAACGCTGCTCAGTCTACCCATGTTTGGATTAGGAAGACATATTTTGGGATTAGTACCTTTTGTATCTTAATAACTTTGGAAATTTCCCAGTTATGGTCATTGTATCAGTTAGGATTAGTTTTGGAATGTTCAGAGTAGGACAGTCCAGGTATGGTATGGTGGCCTTTGAGGTCTTTCTAGGTCTCTATGCCATTCCTAGGAAGTGGCCCTCAGACTCATTTCTCACGATGGTTCCAGGCAGCAGGGTGCAGGAAGAATCAAGAAGAATGCTTCCCTTTCCCTTAAGGAGACTCCCAGAAGCACCATATAAAGTCTTCTGCTTGTTTCGCATTGATCATTCCTAGCTAGAAGGCTGAGATAGTAGTTGTTTACCTTAAGTAAAATTGAGGTTCTGTTACTCAGGAGAAAAGAGAAACTCGATTGTATGGTAGACAAATAGTCTTTACCACTTTACCACCATAGAGTTCAAACAGTCAAGCATTCTCCAAGATTTTTCAATTTTTATTTCTATAATTAGTAGAGTTAGTGGGAATGCCCTTTGTTGAGTT